TTTGAGAGAAAGAGAGAATTTTTCAACATTCATTTTTCAGTTCTCAGCGACACAACATCTTTGTAAGTGGTGCTGAGGATCGAACCCGGGACGCATGCATGCCAGGCGAGCACGCCACCACCTGAGCCACATCTCCAGCCCCACTGCTCAGCTCTTCTGAGGGCCTTCTGCCTATATCACAACATGGCAGATGGCATCATGGTGGGAATGCATGTGAGAGGGAGAGATAACATGGCAAAACAAAAAGCCAGAGAGGAGCTGAGATGGCTGACTTTGTTTTGTAACTACTCATTCTTGTGAGCACTAACCCACTTCACGAGAGCAGTATTAATGCCTTCTAAGGCAGTGCCCTCCATGACCTATCCACTTTCTACTAGGCTCCATCTTTTGAAAGTTCTACCACTTCAGCACCACTACAGTGGGGATCATGCTAACACAGGAAACTTTGGGGAGGACAAACCTGTCATAACACTAGTATTTTCAGTTTCTTATTTATCCTGCAGTTATTTTATGTCACTTAAGAAAAATACACACAGACATTTATATGTATCCAAAGTACTTTGATATATTTTAAAAAAAAACACAGAACAACATGTTTTTGGTAAACAAAATTTAATGTAACCATACAGTCAAGTAATAATGGTTAAAAGACATTTTACAACTTCTTAAAAATTTAAACTATGTAAGAATAAAAACAAAACATGTAAATATTAATGTGCTACAACTGAATTGAGAACAATGCAATACATTTCACTGTGAAGATTCCATAGTAGCTAACTGAAAGCAAATGACTTTGGCTGCCACAGGTCTGTACTAGTTGTAAAGCAGATTATACTTAGTTCAGTTTTAAAATTGGGTTGTTTGAGTCTCAATAGAATTTATATAAACTGCAGGGAGGAGTGATAGGAAAGGGAAGAAATGCTTTCTCAAGAAAGTTAAAGTAAAAGCATGTAGAGGGAAAAAAATAGTATGAAGAATGGAACGAAAGAAATTAGATAAATACTTTTTTGACACTAGATGTAGATATTTCAAATGACATTTACAAGGGCTTAATCAAAATAAGATAAATGTTTGTCTAAATATTTTAAAAAGCACCTAGGTATCAAAAAATAAAAATATAATAAAACTCCAAGCACCCAATGACTTCTCTTTAACATTCTCATTCTGCCAAGCAATCACAGTTGGTGCTCATTAAAATATTTAAGGGGGAAGTTTATGTACTCTATAGGAAACAAATATGAAACTTACTAAGGTAAGCTTTGCTTAGATTGAAAAAAATTGAAATAGCACTGGAGAACTTAAGGCACATAAACAAATTCAGATGTAGTTATTTTGAAAACATTAAAACAAATTGTTTTCTTTGGAACAATATATAAAATAAGTTATGACTTGCTATTCTTTAAAAATTATGATCATCTTTAGCACTAAGTAAATTTAATATCTAAAGCAATCACACAAATGTAAAACATTCATATAAAACATTTAAAAATGTCTAACATATGTTGAAAATGTCTCTGGAATTATCAGTTCACACGCCTGGCTCAAGTGGTTTCTGGTGCCTAACATTTTAGAAATGACTATTAGCATAGCTAGCTAGTCACACCTACTGTTTTATAGGTCAACCAAATTCTCCTATTCTGGTGCCTTGGTAAGGTCAATTTATTTACCTAAAAAGAATAATGGGGATGAGGTTATGTAAACCTGGCTTTCAACATAAAGAACAAGAAATTCTAATAAGGCCAAAATTATGTTGAGGTTAACCAGTGTCTTGAGTTTACTAAAAATAAAGGCAATCCATAGGAAGCCTTTGTGAGACATTATCTTATCACTTGGCACCACATAAATAGCAATCTCTCCCTCTCTTTGAAAAATAGTCTGGAGTAGATGTCTTTCCCACATGTAAAGCTCAAGACTCAAAAGGCACACACAAACAATTCAACTCCTCTCTTTTCATGTATGGGTTCTCACAGTAATTTTTAAAAAATCTATTACCATATCCAGATAACAGGAAAAAGAAACATACACCTGGTTTGCACATTGACAAAAGTGGTATAATTGAACCTTTGTCTTTCCTGAGTTTTAAAAAGGGTATTGACAGTAGAGATAAAGAAACAATTCATATTCACTAAGAGAAAATATACCAGTTCACAAAACGTTTTAATTTTTTTAAATACAAAAGAATGTTTAACCACTGCCACGTGTGAAGCTCCTTTACCAAATTTAATTTACTCTAGAATCATCAACTGAAAGTTATTTAGTTATGGCACTTTAAACACCCAGATAGGCAAAAGTGACAAGTTAATACCCTCCCTGAGTGTCTCTCTCTCTCTCTCTCTCTCTCAAAATCTCAACTTTTCTTAACCTGGTTTAAATGGAGTTAAATATCTTATGTTTCACTCATTTAGGAAAAAAAAAGTTACTGAAGACCCAATAGGCTACCATTTCATGCCTGTGCAGTACAGTCAGTGGGAGTATTTCAGTAGAAAAGGAGGAAGTTAGATCACTCTGTCACTCATTCACAGAGGAAGAATATGGAAAAGGATACAAGTTCATGAAACACACACATGCAACAAACACAAAAACTATTTTTCTGTTATCCACAGAGCATACGTTCAAATTCTCTTTCCAACTGAAGTATCAAGCTGGAGTTAGCAAACATCTCTGCTGCCAATTTGTTTTCTAATCTTGTAAAAACTGGTTATATAGATTCTGATGGTATATAAGTCATCATTACTAATACTTATCTTGTACTTTCAAATGTAAAAAAGTACTCTAGAAATGCCCAAACAACAACAAAAATCTTATGGAATCAAATTTAACACGATCAACTAATTTTTACTTTGTGTTTTTTTTTTCTGATCATCACAAACTGCAAAAATTCTTGGTGTTTGTATATGTGTGTGTCCACAATCATTCCATCTATCTATCTATCTATCTATCTATCTATCTATCTATCTATCTATCTATCTATACAGGTATACACATGCATACTAACCCAGAGGCTCATTCAAGCATCACCTGTCAAGAGAAAAATCTGCCAACGATAGGATGACAGAATGAATATAATCTGACACCAATTTGGTTGATATATCCCTTTTGATATACTAATTGTATCCTAAAATATTTTTTTAAAATCAAGGCGAATGCCATTATTAGTCAAGAATTAGAAACAGGAAGAAAAATAATTAAAGTAAGTTAAAATATCAGTTGTGTAACTTTAAAAAATTACTTTAATTTTCTAGGATTCATGCTAAGTACTTGGTGGCCTTCAACATAAATTGCAACTACTTAATTTATGTAGTTTAAAAATTATGTAGAGAAAAAATTAAACAATATTGATATGAGGTCTGTGTTTAAACAAATTATTTTTGTTAAGGTTTCATTTCAATTTTACTACAACAAACACATGGATATGAAAATAAATGTAAAATAAAATATAAGTAAATAGTTAATACTTTTACAATAGACAAAAATACTAGAATACAAAGGTATCTTAAGAAAGTTTTTTTTTTTTTTATGTGAAGTCTCTGTACGGACAAGAGCTTACAAATACACATAAAAATAACAACTATTGTTTGTATAATTCTAAGCATTTACAAAACATGTTTTCATACATTATCTCATTTACTATAAAGAATTTCTGAACTAAATAGGTTCCATTATCTACAAAAGTATAATGAAGATATTTATTATAAAATTACAATACAAGCATCCCAATTGTATATATAACTGTTTTTCAACTAATTATTTTCTAAATTGCTTTGATAGTTATCACAGAAAATTATGTATCATTTTAAAATTGACTTGAATTTAGATCCTAAGCTGTAAAGTTTCTCTATTTGAAACGTCTGTGTCATTCTAGAATAAGGGGGAAAACAAGTTTACCAATGTTAGGTTTTTTGATGACTACTTTGGTTTTAACAAAAATCTGGTGACACTATAATCATGTATTTGCATCATCCCTATTATGAAAAGGAGTATGCAATTCCAAAGTGAGAGACAACATTGACTGGGAAGTTAAAATACAGTAGGCTACCTGGTACATCCCTAAAATGTTGTAAATTATATCCGTCCATCCAGGAATCACAATAATTACTTAGGCTGTAGTTCCTGCCATATCCATTTATTTGCCTTGGAAAAAATTTTGACATTCCTCTCTGAAAACTGGTAAGCTTCATAAACTGTAGTTGAGAAATCTAGACAAATCAGTCTGTTTTACACAAATTAATACAATTTGGATTTATCTCAGAAGACTGGAACCACTGTTGTTTTTTTTTCAGAGCTAAGTTTAAAAGAAAAATGGACCCACTGAGGTAAGTGGTCCCTGCTTTAGCCTATTAAAGGCACTTCAACAGTAGAGATTCTCAGTTTTTTAGCCGTTTCAAAGAAAGCAGAATAACCAAGGAAGAGGTTCTGACCCAAAGCACCATACTAATGAGGTCAAACCTATTGGCTGGGGAGAAAACCCTTTCCTAGTTTTCACACGACAACGTTGCAAAATGGATTTCAACTCCTTTGTCAGGTTAAAGGAAAGAGACTTCCTTAGAGGACTTAGAGATGATGCATAAATACTTTGAGAGCCACAGTGGGTCCCATTCTCTTAAATAGTTGTTTAATTTTTTCTTACAAATTAACTTGTAATTTTCATCCCCCTTTTATGGGCACTTATATCTGTATCTCCTACCTAACTCCTCCCCCCAAAACATGTTTAATATAAGACAGCAGTTCTAACAATGAAGTCACAATAATTCAGTATTTTATGATACTCGAATTGTTATCATTACAATTTTATCAATTGCGGGGGGGGGGAAAACCCTTCAATAAAATTAATCAATGTGGATATGCTATGTCTGTGACAAAGATTTTTAAAATTGATTTTTCTCCCTAAGAATACATACTAAGCATTCTCAGCATTAGGTGAGTCAACCTAAATGAAGCCTCAGTCATGCAATTTTTCTTTACATAAATGACAAAATAAGGAATATACAGTCTTGCAGATAAACATACATAAATGAAAAGACCATTCACAAATTTCTAAAAAAGTATTCAGGCAGACATTATTTCCTACTCCACAGAGGCTTCTTAACAAATACAAGGGTAACTCTCAAAGGTCAAGCAACAATCACCATAATTATCTTTAACAACTTCTTTCCATTACAGCAAAGGCTTTATTACAGTTTGAAAGACTGATGTACTGGGGAGAAAGGCACCAGGATTATTGGTTTTACTATTTTTTGAATATGGCACAGAGGAGATAAGTCAAGTTCCCACTCAGGAGTTTTTAAAACCTCTCATCTTGGATCAGTGTGGCTTCTTGGTGAGGTATCCTGGCTTTAAAGCTTAAAGCATTTCTCATTGTATCTATGGATAGTCACACAGCCATGATAGGACACTGGCCTGGGCATTGCAGCTACCCCTGTGATGATACTTGTCGCAGGATCATAACAGAGAATAGTGTCTGTGGCTTCTCCATTTTCCCGTCTTCCACCCAGGATATATATTTTACCATTACACACAGACATACCACAGTTTTCCTGTTTAACCAAATACATAAAAAAAAAATTAACTGTTGCAGATAAAAAATTTGGTAACAAACTGAAAAGTAAAAAAAAGACATTTAAACACAATCAAAAAAAGGGAAACATAATATAAGTTAAGCTACTTTTTGCCAAATTCCCATCCTGTGTGTGGGCACTAGATAATTCTGTATGCATGGAGTGAATAGAAATATATATTATATGTTAGTAATTGGGGCCAAGATGTGAAGGCAGGATGGGCATGGTAGACTGACATAGAAAGGCTTAACTTAACAATTATGAAACAAAACCTCTTTGAAAAACAGTCGCTTCTACTAATTCTACTGAGGAAGTTGTTGTTGTTGTTTTTTAATATCATAGAAACTAGCTATTACCTGACCACAGGTAGGAATCTTATTCACTTTATAGAACTACCCACAAGTTGAATGAAGGAATGAGAGGAAGAGTTATACCAAATTAGTTATAACCAAATCACAGAAATGATCTTTGCCTATGATGGTATTCTTAGCTTAAGTTTTACTCTTGTGTGGCAATAATATAGTAACTACATAAAATAATTATTTTTTTGAAAAATGAGAGTGATTTTTCAAACAAATAAACAATACTAAAATTTATCTCACTAAAACATGGACTTATTTATGCTATAAGTCAAATACTCTATTTACATTTCATTTTACTTCAGAAAATTAATATCTTATAATATTGTATCTTGTTATTGTGGTTTCACATCATCTACAATGAAACAGTTCTACCAATGAGTTCAATAAACATTTTTTTTTTAAAGAGAGAGTGAGAGAGGGGAGGGAGAGAGAGAGAGAGAGAATTTTTAATATTTATTTTTTTTTAGTTCTCTGTGGATACAACTTCTTTGTTTGTATGTGGTGCTGAGGATCGAACCCAGGCCACACGCATGCCAGGCGAGTGCGCTACCGCTTGAGCCACATCCCCAGCCCTCAATAAACATTTTCACTGGCCAGATTTGCTACATATAGATTTCCCTCTTATAGAAAAAAATCTAAATTGTGGTGGATTTGCATAATCTTCAGGTCTGAAAGCATCAGTGAGTACTTAAAATGCCTGTATTAGAATTTATATGTGAAAATGAAATGGCTTGTTAACATTAATGAACGATATTTTTATCTTAAGAGTGAAACCCATGAGCCACACAAATTATAAGTCAAACTAAAGCACAATGAGCTCTTTCTACAAATTCTAAAAGTTCTGAATACAATAAAACAATGACAAAAATATACTTAATTTTCAGGTACAAGCTATGTTGAATATTGAATGGTATAATTACTTTTATGGTGATTCTAAAGCAATGTGTCATTACACAATCTGGTTATTAATATTTCAGATAATAATGCTCAGAATTTAAATGAATGAAGCAAGCCACCTTGAAAACAAATATTCATTCATACTGGGAAATTATTTCTACCAGATGAAATTGTTTATTTCACTCTGTAAAATACCTACTCTTTACTCTGTGTATATGTATACTATATGAAACACTTATTCTTTACTCAAAGGGTAGCTAGTGGCAAAAATAATTGATCAATATATGAAGTTTTAATGTTATTTTTAAAGACTAAAATGAAATGATTCTTATATTATTAAAAATCTTCTCTTTAATTACTTTTATAAATGCTTAAATGTTAAAATGTTAACCAACATTATACAAAAATAATCAGAGTTATTTTAATTATTCTAAACTTTAATGATATTTTAAATACCTGGTCTACTGAAGAAAGAAAAGAAATCTTCACAATTGACTTAAAAAACACCCCTGCTGCTGGGCATGGTGGCGTACTACTGTAATCCCAGCTACTTGGGAGGCCAAGTTTGAGGCCAGTCTCAGCAATTTAGTGAGACTCTATCTCAATATAACAATAACAATAAAAAGAAAACATATAAAAAGGACTGGGGATGTGGCTCAGTAGTTAAGTGTTCCTGTTCAATTTCTGGTACTAAAAAGAAAAAAAAAAGCCCACAAAAAGCCCCCAAACCTATAATTTTTTAACAAGGACATTTCTAATGGGGGTTAGAAAGCAGAAAGCAAAATATGTTTAGAATATCAATTGTGACCTTAAGGAATTATGCAAAGTTGAGAGGCATGGGAATGGTGAAGAACAAATAGAGAAATAGGTTGGGTCCATAAGGACCATAAAAAAAAAAAGTTAAAAAGTTAAAATATTTTCAACTCTTTGTTACTTGATATTTTGAGCATTAAAAAAAGCAATAGTTTTAGATTCATTTCTCATTTTATCGTCTACCAAAAAATTAGAATTATCTTTTTCACTGATTAGCATTAAAAGGGCAGGCAATTAATATATACATACACTTAGTAATACTGGTAGTGAGAAGGAATGAGGGGAGAGAAAATGATCCCCCAAATCCTGACACTACATTTGAACTTCAACAGTCTTTGTAAAATTTAATATACTTCTGATCCAAATGTTCCTTTCCCTTAAAATTTCTGAAATCTATGTTATTCACTGTTTAGAGAAAATGTGCCATGATGTCCTGTTGTTGATATTTTTCGGTTATGTCAATCATCCAATTAAAAATATATTCATTGTATGCTCTGCATTATGTTTATGTGGTAATTAGCTTCCTAACTAAGCTCTCTTAATCATTTTGTACAGTATAATCAAGTTTCTAATGAACAGTGATCTTTAATAAAAATGAATTACTCTTTAAAATATTCATAAAACAAGCCAATAAAAGATATTTTAGATTAAAACTTCATTTCCTCTTAAATGTAATATGAGAAGGATAAAAGATTATATTCACTCCATACTCTGAAGCTGAAGATCATATTATGTCTCTTTTATCAGTTGGGATAATGATAGTCTGAATACATTATTAAGTGAAGACTATAACTCAATATCAACAACTTTAAAAAGATTGTGTTATACTCAAATCCTCTTCATTATCCTTATAGTTCTATGCTATATCTCTTGTGTATCTTGAATGCAAGATTATCTTAAAATTAGGTTCTTCATTTACTTTACTTTCTCATTTGCTTACTTACTCAATATTTACTGAACATGAATAAATCCAAAATACATTAAGAGATGAGTTAGAATAGTATTCTCAAGAAGGCTGAAGACTAGCATGGAAAATACTCAATTTATACCCATTAGGGAATATGTTAGTGTCATAACATAAGTGTTGGAAGTTGTAACATCAGAAGAAAAACACAATCAGTTCTGGCCAAAGTAAAATCAGTTTGTTGTAACTATAAAGTTTGTTTTTAAAATGAATAATTACAAATAGAGAAGGTTTAAAAAAAAAAAAAAGGTTCATTAGAAGCTAAGGAGGAGACAGCGAGAACCAAGACAAGAATATATATGACCTGTTTAGAGAACACAAGTAATGAGCAAGGTACAGTGGTGCACGCCCATAATCCCAGAGTCTTGGGCAGTTGAAGTAGGGGGACCATGAGGTTTGAGGCTGGCCTTGGCAACTTAGTGAGACCCTGTCTCAAAATTTAAAAAGGAAGAAGGGAGGGAGGAAGAGAAGATAGAGGGAAGGCAAGAAGGAAGGAAAAAAAAAGAAAATCGGGACTGGGAATGTAATTGGGATATAGTTATAGTGTGAGGCTGAAAAGGCAAAGAAAAGATTCGTAAGAGAAGGTCTAGAATGAAGTGATAAAACAAGTAGGTTTCCAGTCAAGGGAGAGATGAATTTACATGTGTAAAGAAAAGATCTGGTGGCAAAATGGTTCAAATTAATAGATTGATTCAATTTAATAGAAAGTGAAGAATATCTAATAAATTACATTTCTAAGTTGTTTGGAGACACAAAAAAAGTAAGCTTGGCAAAGAAGGTACATTTTAACTAAGTCTGAAGTCTTGGGCACCCATGGAAAATAGACAGCTGGAAATTGGAGTCTGGAGCGCAGGAGAGAGGCTTTGGTGCAGATCAAGACTTGAAGTCTTCAGTACTGGGTAGCAGATGAAATCATTCAGGAATAGACTATATACTGGGAAGAGGTAAGGGGAAAGGGGCTCAAACAACATTCATATTTAAGAACTGAGTAGAAAAAAAAGAAAAAATATGAAAGAGTCTTAAAGAGATTACTAGTAGTGACTGTGAGAGCACAACATTTTTAAGTGGTTATAAGTAGAGCCAGATTTCCAGCATCAAAAGCAGCATTTTGCTAGAAGGAAGGTAAACAGAGCCATGAATCAAAAGGTTGAGGGAAGGTCTTTTGGGGAATGGCAGGGATAAGGGAGTGGGCTCCAGATGGAAACCGACAAACCATGTCCTGTATAACAAAAACAATGAATGACCTAGTTGCTAACCAGAAAAGCATCCATATGAGAACATTTCTTCAAAAATATTAAAAAGGGGATGAAGACAAGAATAGGGTTCTGAAAAAGATTAAAGGGAATAAAAAAATCAATAGATACTTCATCTTGGGATGGTAAAAAGGAAGTTATTTAAAAAAAATTCCCTGGAATGACTTCATAAAAGTTTTATGTGGAACTTTAAAAAAATATGAAGTTCAAGTAAATAGGTAATATTTTAAAAGTAAAATTCCAGTGGATTAATAGTAGTCATATGCTTGGTCCCTCTTAGGTTTATTTCTCTCCTGGACCGTTTTACAATATTACCTGTCGGCTGAATGTATTCTGTACATGCATCCAGTAGTCTTCAACTGGATCATAACAGTATATTGTCTTGGTCAGTCCACCAGCAACATAGATCAGGTTGTTTAAGGAGACAGCTGTTATACACCTCTTGGCAATTGGGATAGCTGCACGAAGTAGCCAAGAGTTGGTTTCTGGATCATAAGATTGAACCTAATAATATAGAGAAACACTTAATTAAAGTTTCTAAATAAATTAGTAATTTTACTTAATAATAAGGTCTACCAATACACAGAAACATGATTCAAAATAAAATTCCATTTGTTCAGAGAATTAAAGGAGGAGGTTAGCCTCACAGTGAAATGTGTATATTTAGAATAAATTCTCCAAAAAAATACAAATTTATTACTATGAAGCAGAAAAAAGTAATAAATGCACACTGTTTCCAGGATGAAGGGCCATCAGGTTAGTTTTACTTATTTCCACTGAAATTAGCAGTCTAAATTTTAAAAAATTGCCTTATGTGGAATAATCATTCCTCAATCTGAAAATAATTTCTTTGTACTTTTAAGGAGTCCTTTCTTAAAAAAAAATACAAGTAGACCTCAATAAGTTATTGTAAGTTCTGAATTCATGAATTCTAAGTGACATTTGATCACACTGTATTGAAATTTAACTTAGAAAAAGAATTAATCGATTGACAAAATTAAGGTAACATTTATAGATCAATTAAGCATTAGATACTTTTTTCCCCAATATAAAAATGGTATTTCCTGAGATGTCAGGACCACATATGTTCTTTTGTCTCAGGAATTCAATGAACTGCAGTTACTGTGAGCCATCCTCTATTTACATTGCAGGGGCTCCTTTTCTTCCTTTTTGTTCTAAAAATACTTTGAAAGTATGCACAAAATGACCTAGTTGGAAGCAGTATAATTAGTCATTGTGCTTTATCCTGGGCTAATTCACTTCCCAACTGTGTTGCATGTGAATAATTTAGATTTTGTAGATGATAGCAATAAAATTTCAGTACTGAGATTAGTTTTATTTCAAACATCTTAGATTACACTTGTTATGAAAAGTGTTTAGATATTGTAGGGTCTTGCTTTAACAACACAAAATTCAGAGGTTTTCCCCAAAAGAATAAAGTACCAGAAAATTTTTAAAAGATCTTTCACACTAAGCAACCTAACTACCTACTGGATAAACTTTCTGTCTTTCCCTTTTTATATATATTTTTGGTAATTTCTTTATAAGAACATGGCTTAAGGTTTGGGGACGTGGATCAGTAGTATAGAGCATTCTCAGCATGCTCAAGGCTCTGGGTTCCATCCACAGTAAAGAGAGTGGGGGGCAGGGGCACTGACTTACCTTATCAGAACAAGTATTATCATCAGGTCCTCCACCAATCACGAACAATTTGCCTACACAGCTAGTCACTGCAGGAGAACTCACTGCTTCCTTAAGGGGAGCTACTTCAGTCCATCGATTCGAAAAGGAATCATAACACTCTACGCTGCTAAGTCTGTTTTGTCCATCATAGCCTCCTACGACGTATACCTATATGTAAAATACATAAAAACACTTAAATATCAAAAGTCCAAATTTTGAACTAGTTGGTTAAAGAAGGGATTTCCTCTCTTTAAAAGCCCTTGATAAATATCTATAACCAGAGCTTCCGTGTCTTCTTATATACTGTTTATTTGTTGTCTCACTGTATGTATATCTGTACTTTGTACACGAAAGCTTATGACTTTTTTCACACCCCCACTTCAAGAACAAATTTTCACCACTTCCTTGGTGATCATGGAGAATTGCATGATTTACCTTAAGTGTTCACACTCATGGATGATGAACTATTTGATTTTCATAAAGTAATAAACTATGAAACTAAAATATTAGGTAAGGATTATTAGATTATGAGAATTTGGAAGACAGGGCCTATCTTTTAGTACCTGATGCATAATGAATTTATAATCTTCACTTCAAAGAGCTTTAATGTACATTTTCACTTTACAAACAGGAGGAAGGCAGGACAAATCAATATCTTTATATGAAAGATATCTGGAGCTTTTTTTTTTTAAATTTTCAATTTTTATTCACTGAATTGCTTCAAAGATTTTGCATATATTCAATTATGATTTTAGAACCATAGGTGATTTTTTTTTTTAAGAGAGATAGAGAATTTTAACATTTATTTTTCAGTTTTCGGTGGACACAACATCTTTGTTTGTATGTGGTGCCGAGGATGGAACCCGGGCCGCATGCATGCCAGGAGAGCGCGCTACCGCTTGAGCCACATCCCCAGCCCGAGCTTTTTAAATTTTAACAAAGCTCTCCGTGTTTCCTTTAATGAGCAGTCGTCATCAACGCTTCCTTCATATCTGATTAATTTAATTAAGTTCTATTTATATCTATCTATATCTTCTTTCACACATCTCTTGTATCTGCCCATTCCTTTTATTTGTCACTACCACCATCCTACTTTAGGGTCCACATGATTTCAAACCTCAAATAACCTCCTGATCTCCATTCTTGTGCTCTGAAAACTTATAGATTAATTTTCCTAAAACACTTCATCAATTCCTTTTTTTTTTTTGGTATTGGGGATTGAACCCAGGGACCCTTAATCACTGAGCCACATCCCCAGACCTTTTTTATATTTTCTTTAGAGTCAGGGTCTTACTAAGTTGCTTAAAGCCTCACTAAATTGCTGAGGTTGGCTTTGAACTTGTGATCCTCCTGCCTCAGCCTCCTGAGCTGCTGGGATTAAAGGCAAGCACCAAAGCACCTGGCCATCAATTCAACAGTTCAACAACAAATCCCAAGGACCAAAGCCAAATTTCACATCTTGTCATTAAAATTTGTCTACAATTTATCTTTCAATGTTCCTTTAAATTTTTACAGAAGCTAATGTCACTTCTGTCATGCATTTCTCACATTATGTTATGGTGACCTAATGGTGGATTTGTGCCCAGAACACCATACAGCTCAGGAAGGTAAAGTATCTTATAAAAGGTTGTGCAGCTCTAAGTGGTATGCAGTTTCAAGGAAGAGGACAGCTGGGTTCATATCTAGCTCCACCTCTCCATATATAGCAATTAATCTTCTCAGAAACTCAGTTATTTATTCACTCAGTTAAAAATGTACACAAGAATACTTATCACATAACCTTAGAGTTTAAACTTTAGTACATACTCCTATACATATAAATGAAAAATGCACACCATGAGCATCAAGACAGAAGGGCTCTAGAGTGAGAAAATCTGAGCTTTTGCCATTGCTTTATCTGTGTAACCTTGGGCAAGGTTTTCCTTATAAACTGACAAAGTTATAGTAAATATCCTCTTTCTATATTCTAAATTCTAAGTCATCTTAGGTTTCCTTATAGAGAGTATTACAATTTTTAAATATGTTCATAGATTTGAATTCAGCCTCTATTTTAATTTTTAGGATAATGGTTTCCATGAATTGGGTACTTGCTATGTAAAACAGAAATGATTCTTCTTATTTCTTGATTTAGCACCTTAAGCTTTGGGTACCTTTGTGTCAAGTATTTGTCAAAAAAATTTGAATTTACTAAAACATAATATTTTTTGATGCATCAATCATTTTCATTTGTCTATGTCCAGATTAAATAATTACAAATTATACTTTTAGTCAGAGCTCATCTCCTTTTAACCCCTCAATTATTTTAAAGTCTCTTTCCTAGTAATTCTTTGTCATTCTTTAGGCATAGCTACCAAAATCACATAGAAATAGTAGGTATGAGCACATCAATGGTTTTCAAAAAGATTTCTACTGATATTTTATTTCCAGTACATCAATCACAATTTTTCATAGGCTTTGTTGATAGCTGCAGCATATATGATATTAAAGTCTCTAGTAATCAACAATAGCTTTTAAACTGTGTTTTGGGAAGCTCTAAGTGTCCACAGTATAGAGACTTCAAGAAGCCTCTTGTGGGGATATAGGGCAAGAAAGACTGATAGGGGTCTGAGTAGGAAATTCTAAGCCAATATCTTTGATTCAATTAGAACAGTTCTGGTTTTCTAAGTGGCTCTGAAATATCTCACTGTAAGGCCTTAAAGGTAGTGTTTTTTTTAGAAAGAGGTTCGAGGGGACCAATCAAAGAATTACGTGCAGTCAAGTATCTCGTGATCCTCAGATTTTTCATTCACTTAAGTTGGCTTTGGAGGTGCTCACAGAGATGCTGGCAGGGAATGGCTACAGACTCTGAATTACTCCCTAATACAGCTGCTAAAGATAATATGTTTAATGTAATGGGTTTTTAATATAAGATTTAACTTTTAAAAAGAGTATACAGTTCTTTAAAAGGTTACGAAGGCCAGTATGGTTCTTATCCTATATTGTATGTATTTTAATAATATTCATTATCTTTAGTCAATAATACATTTTCTTTAAAATATGTTGATGTTTATCTTGTTATTTAAATTTGTTTTGTCCTTACTTGTACAAAAAAAAAAGATAAAGTAACATCATTTTAGATAAGTAAATCTTAGCTTGCTTGCCAAATTCAGTAAAAGGAAAAAAAGTTTTGCTTGGATTAGACATTGCCCTTTTGATGTAACTCCTTTCTTTTCCAATTCTTAGGCATTTGGATTCCAATGTGCATGAGAAAAGATATGTGCTACATTGCCATGAATTCCAAGTTGGGAGAACAAAATATCCATTCAAAATTACAGTGTCATATTGTTTATATCTTCAGTTTATCTACTATGGTTAGGAATGGAAGGAAATACTATTTGAATCCAAAACACCCAAAGGGAAAGTGAAATGCAGGACTTAGCTGTGGTATTTATTTTGGAAATGTACAAGCAATAGTAATAAAAAATGGTTTCTCTTACTTTACCAAGGAGGACAGCCATTTTGTGACGCCATCTGCCTTTATTTAGAGAGGCAACTCTGATCCAAATATTTAACTGTGAGTTATAAATCCAGACATCACGACTATTGATTCTTCCACCTTTAAATGCAAAACAGTGCACATGGAATAATATATCACTATATATTTATCATCAAGAGATCTATGCCACCAAAGCACAGGAGGCAATTCATAAATTTGAGAATTAAGTTCAATAAATGAAAGAAAGACGCTCTTACAGCTTAATGAAAATAGTTCTACAGAGCAGATTTAAACTTTGTCAATTATGATCTTGAGAAGTAGTGATTATAGGTCTTCTTAAAATAAAATACAGAATATGAGTTTTACAAATATATGACTGTTAATTTAGAAGTCAGATATCAGGACCCATCAAATATTTTTTTTTTTTTTAAAGTACTGGGGATTGAACTGAGAAGCACTTTACAGCTGAGCTACATCCCCAATCTTTTTTTTTTTTTTTTGGGGGGGGGGAGGTGGTACCAGGGATTGAACTCAGGGGCACTCTACCACTGAGCCATATCCCCAGCCCTATTTTGTATTTTATTTAGAGTATTTAGAGACAGGGTCTCACTGAGCTGCTTAGTGCCTCACTTTTGTTGAGGCTAGCTTTGAACTCATGGTCCTCCTGTCTCAGTCTCTGAGCTACTATGATTATAGGCCTACACCACTGCCCCTGGCTATTTTTAATTTTTATAAGACAGGTTTTCACTAATTATAGAGGTCGGCCTCTAATTTGTGATATTCCTGCCTCAGCCTCCTGAATTGCTGGGATTATGGGTGTACACCACCATGTCTAGTGCCAAATAACAGACTTTTGAGCACAGATTCAATAGTTATATTCTATATTATCCTTATCCTTTTTTGCAGGGGGGGGCGGTTAGAACTGGAGATTGAACCCAGGGGCATTCAACCACCCATTTAATTATGTGAGCCATATCCACAACCTTGTTTTCATTTTTTAATTTTGAGACAGGGTCTTGCTAAGTTGTTTAGGTCCTAAGTGGCTGGGATTATATGGTGTGCCACAATGCTCAGCTCATTCTATCTTGTGAGTATTTTTAAAAGAAAAATATTATTTTTAGTTTTATTTGTTGTATAAAAAGATTTGCCTAAAGTGAGCATATTCACATTTCACTATTTTCTTTTAAGACACTATTGTTGTTTAAAACAGTCAAGTCATACCCAAATGAAAAGCAGCTAGCAACTCCAGTGATCCTTTATTTACCTGAAACAAGAATGTCATTCCTTAGAGCGCAGACTGCATACTCTGATTTGGTAAATTCTGGAAGCTTAGCCAAAGACTTCCATTCTCCTGTTACAGGATCATAACACTCAGTATATGGAAGGTTAAATCCTCCAACTCGTTCACAGCCTCCAACAACAACTATCACCTCTGAATAGCCAGTGGACCTAAAATAATTATTGTAAAAATGCAAATAATAATAAATATTAAAATATATTCAAAATTTTTTAAAATCCTAAAAACAAACCACACATTGTCATAAACAAACAGTTAAGTTTATTCTCTTTATACGTGCCAAAAGTACAGAATGGCAGTTACTTGCTTGAGAATATTTACAGGGTAGATAGTGAAATATCTATGGATATTTTTTTCTATGGGTTTTGACCTAAAAATTGTAAACCAGTCAAACGAGCCTATCTAATTTACTAATATTTAAACTAATATTAAAGATATTATCAAGTAATATTAAGAATGACTTTCAAATGCAGTTTTGCAGCAATTCAAATATATATAACCACACAAGGTTAAGATAATGAACTTTTTCTAACTGTAGGAAAATGCTGTTTTTTTAAAATCAGACTGTTCATTCTAAAAAACTAATTAATAGGTTTGATCTAGGCACCCTTTAAAGAAGTTTATGTGACCCTTTATGCCCTGTGAAAACAACAAAAACCATCTACATATGAACCTGGAAGTGACCCCCTCTAGATACTGAATTTGCTGACACCTTGCTCTTGGATTTCCCAGTCTCCAGAATTGGGGGAACTGAGAGAACTGAATTTCCATTGTTTATAAGCCACCCAGTATGTGGTATCCTGCTATAATTCCTGAGTCGACTAAGATACCTTGATAATACATGCTTAATAAAAATAAGAAAAATAGTCTAGTTATCTAATACTAGGCAAATAGACTGACAATGAAAAAAATTCTAATTCAACGAAAGTTTAAAAAAAAAAGGAGGAGCTGGAGTTGTGGCTCAGTGATAGAGCGCTTGACTTGCATATGTGAGGCATTGGGTTTTATTCTTAGCACCATATAAAATAAATAAATAAGTAAAATACAGGTATTGTGTCCATGTTCAACTAAAAATATAAAACAGAAAAGAAAAAGAAGTTTATGTATTTGTTCAGAAGTAAATTTTAAAAATACAGAGTAAGTAAATTAAGGTAATCTAACTAAAAGTGTCAGGCAGTCAGTAAAAATGCAGACAACAAAGGATGTTAAAGGGGAAACACACAAAATAAAAAATTATAGTTAGAGTGTAAAGGGGAAAAACACAAAATAAAAATTTATAGTTAAGAGTATATTCAATGATATGTTAAAAATGTATCTGAGAAAAAAATACACCAAAATGCAGATGAAGGTTGTTTCTGAATGGTATGGTGCTCCACTTTCTATCATTACAATTTTCAAATTGACAGTAAATACAGTCTATTTTTAGAATGGAAAAAAAAAAAAAGAAGAAGAAACACCTTTAAGACGGTGAAGAGAATCCTAATGGTTCATGCTAGTCACTGGCCTCAACTAAAGATACACAGGAAAAACAAATGCTTAACCAAGATCTCTTTGTTCATAAGCTTCAATAGACAGCTTTAGAATTTTAAAATTCTTTGTCTTTTATATTTGTTCAGAAATTTAATCTAAATGAAAAAATCTTGTGATTACATTTTATGGTTACTACAAGTCAAATCTCATTAAAAAATTTCAATACTCTCTCTTCTTTTTCTTCACTGATAATGGCATTTATTCTGGCAAGAATTGTGCAGTTTGCTACAAGAAAGATAAAGTATGGCATTTATGATCCATTTTACCATGCCTCAAATGCAGAAGCTGATTTTCTTTCATAGTTGAAATATAGCTTCATGGTTTCCCCAACATCTGTGCTGCATTTCTCATCTAAAAACTAGACTGAGTAAGTTATATATAATCCCTCTCCTCTTAATTAAATGTGGAGAGAAAAAAAGACCACATCAGAATGCTGATAGTTTTAGTCAATTATACCATAAAATTACTAAATACTGTCACTGGGGCTAAATCATTTCTAACTGTTTTAATGTAAAATCCAGAGTAATAATTATAGAACATTGGTTTTATACTTCACTTATAAGCTTGTAGTTTTGCCTATATTGAAGGTCCTATCTGTAACCAAATAGCCTTTAACTTAATTGATACAAGTCCGGTGTTCTCACCACAGTATGTTAACCCAATAAAAGAGATCTATTTAATTAATTAAATTAATCTATTTTTTTGGTGGTGCTAGGAATGTAACCAGGGTCTTGCACATGCTAAGCAAATGTTCTGTTATTGAGCTATATCCCTAGTACTATTTCATTAATTTTTTTGAAGTAAAGTTTTTGATCTTCTACAATGATGAAATAAATATCTGCTGCTCTAGCATTAAGTTTTGCCAATTCTCCCTAGGAAGGCATAACAAAATGGTTCTTTTTAAAATAATATATTTTTAAAAATCTTCCTTTCTTTTATCATACATTCCAAAAGGTCCTTTTGATAATAATATATTTTTTTTAATTTTCCTTTTATTTCATCATAAATTCAAAGGTCAAATTTATGATTTATGTGAAAGATAAAATAATTATAAATCTACAGATATTCTAAACCAAATCAACAAAAATTTAGTAATTACCAGATTCAGTTAAAATCTGAAAAGGTAAAATACAGGAACTGCTGTCTGAAATAACAGACCTACTTATAAATCAATGTCAAATATGCCAGAAACAGATGAACTCCCAAACTTTCATCAACAACAAGGGTTGAAAGATGATCCTGACTAGTAACAAAATGGATTTTTAAGAAACACAATAAGAAAAGGAAGTGTGTTCCCATTTATTAGGAAATCAGAAAGGAGGGGTAGGGAGAGATGTTAGAGATAGAGTCTATTCACCATTCTAAGACTTAAAAATATATGAAAATCAAACCATCACTAAGTCTAAGGAAACAGCATGATTCTCTAGTTTATAACATATTACACTACCAAATTCAATGTGTTGATTCATCTAAAGATAGAAAAGGGGATTTTTTTTTTTTAATATTTTATTAGTTGTTGATGGGCCTTTATTTATTTTTATGTGGTGCTGAGAATCGAACCCGGTACCTCACACATGCTAGGCAAGTGTTTTACCACTGAGCCACAATCCCAGCCCCAGAAAAGGGGATTGATAAGCCCTGAAAACAATAAATAAATGAACAAATGAATAAAAGAATAAATAACAATCACAAAGGCAAATATTTGCTATACCCAGGGAAAAGAGAATCTTAGGTAAGGTGACTTGAACATTATCTTTTCTTTGCTAAGAATATTTTAATGCTGGGTGAGAGAGTTCCTCAAGTTATATTAGCTGAGAGGACTCTGGTTCTAAAGACCCACCGACTCCCTTTGTTTAGATTCCATGTTTGCCAAACAACCTTTGGAAACTTTGGCTTCCCATATAGGGACTTGCCTATAGTAAGAGAACATACTGGGCAGATCGCTTTAACATTTTGAATCTCTTGACAGTTTCATTTCTCACCACAAACAGATTTACAGACTAGAAGATAAATGAGTTAATAATCTCTCATAGTGAACGTTAAATCTGTCCCTAACAGTTTGATCTCTTCCTAATTTCTAAACCTGGTGAGGACACAGACCACCTGTGTGGTGAGGCTGTTTACCTGAAAGGCAATAGGCAGAATGGATTTTCTGAGGAAATGGCTGTATTGATCAGAATCAGTTAATTAATAAGTTCTCAAGAATTAACCACAGATGTTTTCAAATACTGAGTAACAAAGATGTTCATCTTAAAGTCTGAAAATCAGAAATAGCTGGATCCAGTGACTCATGCCTATAATCCCAGCTACTTGTGAAGCTGAAGCAGGAGGATCCTAAATACAAGGCCATTCTGGGCAATTTAGTGGGATCCTATCTTAAAAAAAAAAAAAAAAAAAAAAAAAAAGAAAGAAAGAAAGAAAGAAAAGAAAAGGAAGAGAAGGAAAGAAAAGAGAAGAAAAAGGGCCAGGATGTAGCTCAGTGGTAGTATATTTGCCCAGTATGTAGCAGGTCCTAGGGTTCAATCCCTAGTACAAAGGGGGAGAGGGATCAGAAACAGCTTAAATGTGCATGGTGATGGTGGTTATGGTATACTGTACTAGATTTCATATTATGGAACCACCTTTAACAAATATTGAGTGATAAAACACAAAGTAAGAAAAGGATTACAATGCTACACATGAAATAATAAACTTATAGAGGAAAAAAAAGAATAAAGATGTAACTCAGAGTACCTGCCTAGCAGTTTGGCCAAAAAGAGTGTGAGAGAGAGAAAGAATAAAGCCAATTACCTCTTACAGGTAAGACAATGGGTAATATTTTTTGATTATATTTTCTAATTTTTCTCCAATTAATGTAAATTACCCTAGTCCTACTCTGCCCAATCTAAGAACAAACTAAATAAAAATTAGACCTTACTACTAACAGCCACCATTTGGTTTCTTTTCAGCCTAGCATGCTTTTTAGTCATCAGACTTCTGCTGCTTCTTCCTGTTCCCAAGGCCAGAAAAGATTGTCTGGCTCATTCAGAGATCCCTCTCCCCAAGAGGAGAGATTCAGTCTGAGTGATTGAACTTGTAATATATAAACTCCAAACCCATGAGAGGCCATTTTCAGCAAGATTAATGAAAGAAAATTATGCCTACATGCCAAGAATAGAGATGAGAAGAACAGAAGACAGAAGGCACACCTTGGTATTTGGGTGGGGATGAGTGCCAGGGATTGACCTTAGGGGCACTTGACCACTGAGCCACATCCCTAGCCCTATTTTGTATTTTATTTAGAGACAGGGTCTCACTGAGCTGCTTAGCACCTTGCTTTTGGGTGAGGCTGGTTTTGAACTCACCATCCTCCAGGGTTGCTGGGATTATAGGTGTGGCTACTGTACCCAGCCAGCTTGGTTTTTGATGGCTTTTTAGTAGCCTGTTCCATAAGGTCCTGTTGAATTTTTGTCCCTAGGTTCTACAAGATACAGTCTCCCTTAAATACATTTGCCTTTTTGGGGGGGGGGAGGGGCAGGGAGGGAGGAAAGGAGATACTGGGAATTTAACCCAGGGGCTATTTACTGCTGATCTACATCTAAGCCCTTTTTATATTTTGAGACCAGGTTTAGCTAAATTGCTA